CAGTTTCTTAAATTAAACTGTATTCCAAAATATAGCTTCAACAGAACTAAAACATAAAAAAACACAACTCACCGCCTCTAGTAATGATGTCCACACAAACATGTATGTGCAAAAAAGGTGAGTATCATCTACCACGTACTCACCTGTGAAAGCAGAATAATATATATCATATTTTATTATTTTAAAGCTCCCAGAAAGAGACAGTTGAAACTTCTAGGGCACCAAATGAAGAAAGAAGGCTTGGAAAATTTGACATATATTGAAGGCAAGAGACACAAAAGGTAGCGGCGCATAACCTGCCTAATGATCTTGTCTAAGTGGTTGACGGAACATGGTTTGGGACAGATAGCAAAAAGGGAAACACTAAAAAGGACATAAAAATGAAACTTCTCTCTATTAATCATCTGAGAGACCCCCCCCCCTTTCTGTCTTCCATCAGTATGGCTGATGATAACCTCCAGGTGAGTGACTCGTTATGCCTTCTCGGGCTAACATTCTCGGCTGACATGAAGTGGAAAGATTATATAGAATCAACATCTTGACTACATGAATTTAAGCCTGCTACTAGATAAGCAACTAGGTATCTCCGATTTACTGCTAAGTTGCCTAGATGCAACTGTAAGTCCTATATTAGCAGTTTCCTTTCTTGCATGTGAAACTCTCTTCGGGCTCCATGCTTTTTGATTTTTAAAAAATTAAATGCAATATCAACCGTTATCTGCTGTCTTCTTAATTCCTCTTCGTCTATTGTTCTCGCTCCTTAATAATTTTTCTCTTTTTCTTATTCTTTCACGACACAGTAACTCTTTGATTTTAATGGCTTTATTTCCTTGCATGGAGTGAATTCAATTTAAAAAAAAAAAAAGAAAAAAACTTCTGAATATAGGCCGGTTGCTACTAATTTCACTATTTAGTTAAATAAAAAAAAACAATTATAGCTACTCAAACACGTGTATCTACTAAAAATGTTTATAGTAATAAAAAATAATTTTGGATAAAAAGAAAATAATCTTTCTAAAACATACAGCCCTCTATATAATAAACTAGCGGTAGAGCCCGGCGTTGCCCGGGGATGTAACAGTAAGAGATAGATCAAGTATCGACTATCATAAAGACTGAAAAATAAAATTAACAAAGATTTAAGGTTGACGGACACGCATGTCTTAATTAGTTTTTTTTTTTTTTACAATTCGTAAAAAAAAAAAAAATCAAACCCAAAACCCAAACTCAAACCCAAACTCAAACAAAAACATTGTTTACAATCGTTATAAGTATATCGATTGGTGAATAGAATTTTATTATAAACAATTGTCTTGTAAATGGAATTTTTAAAGCATTCTGAATGTAAATAAAGAAAATGTGTGCAAGACAATAAGAAATAATACCTGCCAAAAAAAAAAGTGGATGTTTGTTTTATCGGCTGAAAAATGTAAGAAATCCGATCCCATATATAAAGGAACACACACACACACACACACACACACACACACACACACACACACACACACACACACACACACACAAAACACAAACAACCTGGATTTTAACCTAAGTCACTCCACGGAATCGCTAAAACATAGAGTATAGTCTGATGAAAAGACGCTAAAGTTTATGAAAACAAAATTTTATCGTCAAAATGCTTATGCTTTTATGAAGAGGATAGACTAAATTTTTTTTTTAATTATTTTTAAAAATTTTTCCATCTTTTTAGAATATTCTAAATTTTGATTTAAAAACCTTGTTTCTCTTTGTCGCAACAAGGGGTAGTAAATAACATAGATAATTTTTAGCGCGTTTTTGTATTTACACACATTAATTTGGAAAATCTTGCAAAAAATAAAAATAATTGTCAGATGTTAATGAAACATTCAGAAACTATTCACAGATGATTGAAATTATTATAAATATGTTTTTTTTATCAAAGTCATGGCAGAAATATTTTTTTATATTTACTAACACCTCCATAACTAATTTTATGAAAAACTCTAGAAATTCAGACCATCGGTTTTAGCGATTACAATAGTTAAAAGCACAAGGTTTTGAAGAATGCAAATCATGTATTTTTTTTTTTTTTTTTTGGCCAACGTACCTGAAAAAATCAGCTGTGAATTGTAACATACAAAAAACTCAATAAAAACAAATATATTATTTAGTTTCAAATGCTTTTATTTGTTTTAATTTGTTTTTATGACTATGGACAATATTTTCTGGATGCAAAAATTTTTGAATTTTTTAATACAATTATTTCTTATTTCTTTAATTTTAAAAAGATTTTTAAAAAATGTTTAAATTGAATTTTAAAAAATATTTTAACATTAGTTAAATGCAACATCAACCTTTCAAAAATGTCCGTGTGAGATTGTCATTGTCTAGCGCTTTGAAAATTGTATAATTTTGGACCAATCAGATCAGCCATGGTAATTAAGAAAATGTAATTTTGTGTTTATAGTCGGACAGTAATTATCAAGTACGGAAGACCAACCAGAATACAATTTAGTTGCATTATTTGAGTTCAGCATTGTTCTCCGCTGTTAAGCCCTTTACTTTTGCGAAACACGTATAGAGAAGTTAATTTGAGTTTTCAATTTCAACTGAGAAGGGTACCTACAAGTAACAGTATCATCTTATGAAATTTAACTACTGCTAAACTTTAATTTATATGATCTTATTTTTATATTAATCTCAGTTATGACATTTTTCCATAAATGAAATATCAAAATTAATAATAAAATGAATGGAAATACAAATAACACAGTAAAATGTAATAAATGTACATAAAATTATAGTATTTTATGTACACTTCTGATAAAATTTTATAAGAAAGATACCTAAATTAATTAGATACCTTTTTCTTATGAAATTTAATCTCACTATTAACAGTCTTATTTTTAATTTTTTATATTTTCCATAAAGTATCGTAAACGTAAAAATGAAAGCTAAGTACAAAAAATAAAATAAAAAATAAAAATTAGAGCACTGAAAGTTTTCCTTAAAAGTAACGAGGTAAATAATTTGTTCACTTAAATAATTTCACTTCCTTCCATCCGTAGAAAGAATTACCCCCCGTAAGTTATCTAAACGTCATGAATGTGCCTTTCGTCAATCGATAAGCGACGCGAAAGGTTATGACCTGCTTTGTTTTATTTTCAAATTACATTTTTCGGCGCAGAAGCTAAGTTAAGCTTGGTTCAAAAATATTTTAAATAAACAGTATAATATCTGTTTTTATTAAAATCAGTTTTGAAAAAATGATAATTGATTTTAAAAGAATATCAAAGTAAGATTTTAATCTTTTTATCAAATCGAAAAAAATGATTGAAAATGATTATCTGTTCTTTTTTGACCAAAAAAAAAACAATATTTTTAACGAAAATTTCAGACGTGTTAGAACGATTAAAAAATGTAAAAAATAGCCCCAAAATACTTTGATCTTTCCTCTTTAATAATAATATGAACATTAGACGATAAAATTTTTGTTTTCGTCAAGTTCGGCGTATTTTCATCATGCTATGCTTTTTGTTTACATTTTCGTGGGTGAGTTGTCCCCCTTTCATTCTCACGATGTGTCTTAATCGTGTTTTCAAATTGATTTTCTTAAAAACAACTGTGTTTTTCCCCATTTTCGGCGCCGTTAGAACCACCAAAAGGTAATTTTATGTAGTCCTGTAAAGTTTTGTTGAAATCGGCTAAAAATTGTAGGAAATTCGATCCAACATATAAACGCTACATACACACACACACACACACAACACCTGCGTTTTCTAATAAGTAAGATAAGATGTGAATGTCAGTGGGTCACTGTGTCACACTTTTTCAACTTTACTCCTAGAGGCTGTATGCCAACATATCATACCATTTTGGAATCAGTCACACTCTGTGAGCAAATTAAAATACATGCCAGGCTGGATCCGGACCCGCAATCCTGAAATTTTGGATTCCATTTTTTCGGCGATGTTTTACGTGATTTTTTGGGACGATTTTTTTTTTTTTTTTTTTTTGTAGGATAACAATTTTTATAAGTTGGAAATAAATTTGTGAATAATTTAAATTATTGTCTAAATCTGTTGTTTATCCTGTCTGTAATGTTTATTAATTTCTTCACTGAGTCGGCTTGATTCCAAGATTGTATGATATGTTGAGCTACGGCCTCTAGGAGTAAAATTGAAAAAGTGTGACACACTGACATTCGCATTTGTTTATATAAAAGACAATACGAAGTGAGCAATTGCTTCGTTGAATATGCATTGGAAGAAAAAAAAATGTTTCTTTTTCAATGTCAGCATTATTATTCCCAATGTATCGATGCTTTTATAATTTCGTCTTCTTCTTCTTCCGTGTCAATGTATTTCTCTTTCAACTTTCTTACATCAAAATAATTTTCTCTGTCTGATAATCTTCAATTATCCCCAATATATTAATCGTTTTTTTTTCCTTTTCTCTTTCTCCTCATATCAAAAAGAATCTATCTCTATTGCTATCGTCAACATCATTCTCAATATATTCATCTTTTTCTTTCCTTTCTTCTTTCTCCCTACACCAAAAGAAAAAAAAAGAAAAGAAAAATACTTCACTAATTCTCTTTCTCTGTATACTTCTTTCCTTCTCTTCTGTCTTTTCTTTCCCTTCATATCATTTAAGAGGAGGGTGTGGTGCTGTTGCCATCTTTTTCGTCACCAAGGGACGATTTCAGTCAATCAGACAAGAAACAAAGGTACAAGAATTGCTTACGTCACGAGTCTTTCAAAATATTAGTACCAGCACTATTTTCCTTTCTCTCTCCCCCATCTCTCTCTCTCTCTCACACACACACACACACACACACACACACACACACACACACGCACACATGCATGCGGGTGCGCACACACACACACACACACACTCGCTCTTTTAGACACGTCGAGGGCTCCCTAATAGATTTCACAAGATTGATTTCCCAAAGGAATGATAGCATTCGCCTGCCAACAACTTTATTCAATTTTATTCATATTACTCATTAACTAGTCACAAATGGGTATTGTTATGTATTGAGCAGGGGCAGAAGAAAAGGTAGATTGGTATGCAGAGGGTTGGGGGATGTTTGGGAAGGCGGTTGGCTGGGATGATGATGATGATGGGTGGCGGTTGTGTAAAAGCAAAATGGTAAGTATCAATGCGGATAAGAGAAGGTGGTCTGCACAACTTGTAATAATATCCTGTAGTGACATGGTAAGTCTAAATGCGGTGTAAAAAGAAAACGTGTTTAAATTTAAGGCTTGTCATCAATTTGCTGTGAGATAAATAGATTTAAAAAGGAGAGTGAAACAAACATAAGAAACAGAGGAGGTGAATAAGACAGGGTGAAGATAGATAGATAGATAGATAGATAGATAGATAGATAGATATTAGGAAGAAAATGACAGATACAGACCGGGAAGATAGATAGATAGATAGATAGATAGATAGATAGATAGATAGATAGATAGATACGAACAGAATGAGATAGATAGATAGATAGATAGATAGATAGATAGATAGATAGATAGATAGATAGATAGATACGAACAGAATGAGATAGATAGATAGATAGATAGATAGATAGATAGATAGATAGATAGATAGATAGATACGAACAGAATGAGATAGATAGATAGATAGATAGATAGATAGATAGATAGATAGATAGATAGATAGAAGAAATAAAAACAGCGACAGACTAAGATATATATATATATATATATATATATATATATATATATATATATATATATATAGAGAGAGAGAGAGAGAGAGAGAGAGACATGAACATATCGGATAGATAGATATAGCTATACACTGATAGTTCAAAAGTTATAGGATGATTTCTTATCGTATAGATCCAAATGCTCTCACTACGACATGAAGCGGCGAGATGTGAAATCTATTCCACAATCTCTCGGAAGACCTGTGGCGATATGTGAAGCCATGCCGTTTCCATTGTTGTTCTGGTACCTAGACCGTTTAGTGTCATTTGTGCTTGTGACGTTCGTTCATCTTTTATCATTGACAATTCTAACAAGACTCCTCTGAACCTTTTCATTAAAGACCCGTGGACAGTCTCTGCGCAATACACGGTGGGTGGCAATCTATGTGTAAGGGGGCAGTAGATAAAGGCATTGGTTAGAAATAAAGGGTTCGGTTCGAAATTCTAATCACTTGAAGAAGGCTGTAGCATACAACAGCTGAAACATTGTGAATATGGCAGATGAAGATGAAGATAACAGTCTTAATAATGTAAATGATGTAAGGATTTATTCTATTTTTAAAGACAAACTGAAAAATACAAACTGCTCCTTACTCAGAGATAAGAAAACTAAACACAGTATGGACTGTGTTAGAGTTAGGTTCACCAAACAGCACAAAATGCTACAAAGCCAAAACATTAACCTAAGAACTTGAGTCGTGTGCTTAAATATCATCATCAGCTCGAGACTTTCATATAAATATTATGTTTGCTGCTCTACCTTTACAGAATTGTCTAAACTGTCAACTGTATAAACCCACTTTCTCATATGTAGCATGTAGATCTTAGTGAAGATCTTCCTTCTCTGAATATTGTAGACTGGCACAATAAAGTCACAAACAAAGAACTGTATGAGAGAACAGATTAGAAATAGCTTTGGGCAAATGAAGCATTTAGGTCTTAGAGATGAGAGAAGAGCAGTGGCAGGAGATAATGGATAGCCTTAGTCGTCAAGACTAATGGAATTTCCACTGGTTCAGTTTGTTGTATACAGCAAAGAATGAGAAGACAAAATCTGAGAGGAGATCAGATGCATAATGGATAATCTTAGTTGTCAACAGTCATGGAATTTCCACTGATCCACTTAGTGGGATTTTGTAATCTAAGGAAGGTTACTGAATAGAATAATCAAACAAATGTTGGTAATGAACGATAATACTTAGGACAAGAACAACACATATAAGATTTGCCAGCGGCGAGTAGAAGAAGTAGTCAACTGCTAGAAGTGAGTCAAGTGAATTTCCCAATAAATCTTCAACTGCAGGATATCTTCCAACCACCCCACGTGGCACAAGGTCGAATTTAATGTGGGGTATCCGAGCCCGTAGGCTTAGCCCAAAATTCCCCATAGACCCCGTATAAAATGGGGCCGGGTAGTTGTTTGCTGAGACAAGATTCTACCCTTCGACATAACCTCGTCTGGGAATCCTCTCTGCCCGGAGGCAGTGAGTTTGATCAGCACAGACGGAAGGAAATCTCCAACTGCAGGATATTTACCAACCACCCTACGCAGTCAGATGTGGTACAAGACCAAATTTAATGTGGGGTATCCGAGCCTGTAAGCTCGGCCAAAAATTCATCGTAGACCCCGTATTAAACGAGATTGGGTAGATCTTTTCTAAGACGAGACTCTGCCCTTCGAAATAGTCTCGTCTTGGGATCCTCTCTGCCCGGAGACAGAAAGTTTGACAAGCATAACTGGAGACGAATCTCCAAACTACAGACCAACATACAGTATTTACTATTGTATTTATGCGAATGGGGACATACCCATTATCGTTCGTAGGTATGCTACAACACAGGATAAGGTAGAGAATGTTAAGATACATGCAAAGAGTGAAAAAAAAGCTTAGTCCCAATGGATAAACATAGTTGTCAACAATCATGGAATTTCTACTGGTTCATTTTTTGGGGTAAGGCAGAGAATGAGAAGATACAGGCAAAGAGTGAGAAAACTGAAGAAGCATGAGATAATGGATAATCTTGCTCCTCAATTTCTACTGGGTCGTCTATTGTTTATATTAAATACAGAGGTTCACCACTAGTTGACTAACTGCCTTACATAATACCAGCTTTGACATCATTTGAAAATAACGTTAATTTAACACAACCTATCAACACTATGGTTATTTCCATGGCAAATCTCCAAACAAACTCCTTAGTTCCACAAGTTCAGACCTTTATACTTATGACATGCCATACCCTGTACACATTGCCAAATTATTTTCATTGTATTCCGTTGGTAAGGTGGAAGCTCCAGACAGCTTCTTTCCAAGGAAGGATACTTTGTGGGATAAACTCCTGAAAGGATTCTTCCTTGATCCCTAGAATTTTAACCACTTGAAGTCTAGTATTAACTGTTATCTATCGTACATATCCTCATCATAAGCACTTGTTTCTTTTGTGTCTGTACAACAAACTCACTAAGTAACCCTTGATTGGCTACTGGGCCTTAGTCGAACATTTAGTGAAAAACAATAATGGAATGAAAAAATAGATGCTGTTTTTTCTAATTTTCTGATCCACTATTTATATTGATCTCATAAAATCTCATTTAAATCTCATTTAAATCTCATATCATTAAAAGATTAGAACATTTTAGAGACCTACTTTCTTCTTATATGAAATTTCTTTGATCAATGTCTCAATGGCTGCATTCACTTTCACACAAATACCTTAGAAAAAGGCATGATTCCATTTTTTTCCTTCGGTGATAGCTTAAATAGCAGAGAAGATTAGCAATGTGAACATATTGATGATATTATTTTCTCTTTGAGTTACATGTGCCATCCATTTTAGTTGTTGCTGCTGTTGGAAATCCTCAAGTCATATAGTTTCTCTTATTTGGTAGAGATTTTTGTTGGTGATTCTGTAGCACCAGCTCACTAAGTTCAAAGAGGTGTGGTCTTTGCTAAAGTCCACAGGTTTCGCTCGTTTGAAGCCATTTCTAATCATTGATCTGAGAAAGTGACTGTATACAGCTGACAGTTTAGTTATTTCTGAACCACTTTGGCACTGTCCATGCTATAAATATATATATATATAAATATATATCTGTGTACAAATAAATGTGTAATGCACTGTAGAAAGTGCAACTCCAACCTCTAAAAATAATCAAGCATTACAACCACCACTAAAAAAAAAAATAATCAAGTGTGACCTCCCTCTCTATAAAAAAATAATCAAGTGTAACTCCCTCCTTTAAAAAATAATCAAGTGTAACCCCCTCACTAAAAAATAATCAAGTGTGATCACCCCACCTCTAAAAAATAATCATGTGTGATTTTTTTTAATATTTTATATTAATTAATTTATATTAATATATTAATATTTTATTTTATTAATATTTAAAATTAATATTATTATTTACTATTAATGTATTAATTTAATTTATATAATAAAATAAAATATTTATAAAATTTTTCTTTATATATATATATATACTAATTATTAGGAGGATTTGTTAATTATATTTAATTGATTCATCGAGTCTGATAGAAACCTCAGCAGAATGCAGAAAGCACTGGACGGTCGTTTCGTCCTATATTTGGGACTCATCAGCAGTGCGCATCCACTACTGAGAATTAAAACCCTGACAGTTAGGTTGTTAAGCAAACATCATACCAACTGTTCCACCGGGCCTTGGTGGCGAAGAGATTGCAAATCAGACTTAACATAGCGCAACTCGCTCACATATTCCGTGGTGGAACTCTACTGCGTTCTCTGTAACCATAGGACTGTGCCCCCTGGAGCCACGACTACTCTCACCAAGCCGCTCACTCTAGAGCATTAGAAACCGGTTCAAGCGATGATATACACAGATAGTAATTATTAGGAGGATTTGATAATTATATTTAATTGATTCATTTGCAATCTCTTCGTTGCCGAGGCCCTGCATCCTGGGTAAGACCTCTGATCAAGAGGTTTTGAGAAACATAAAACCACCTCTAAATTGCTGGTGTTCCCAGGTCCACCCTGACCCGAAGTGATAGTACCTTTTAGGGTCCCAGCTATGGGCAAATAGTTAACCTCTTAAATGGGGTCAAAACGCTATGAAAGTGTAAAAATATTTTTTTAATACCAGCAATAAATTTTTGTAAAAAATTATTACCATCAATGAATTTTTGAAGAAAATAATTATTACCAGCAATATATTTTTGGAAAAAAATATTGCCAGCAATAAAAATCTTGTCAGCATTAAATAACCCATTGAGGTTAATATAACATAAAACATCACAAACAAACAAACAAATTAAATTTATTGTTGATAATTCTCCTATGATTCGTTGGTGGCTTTTTTATATATAAAAATGTATTGGTGGTATTTTTACTATAAAAATCTATTATAGTTTCATAGTGTTTGAGGTGTTCACTATTTGCCCATAGTTGGGACCCTAAAGGTGCTACCACCCAGGGTCAGAGCAGACATGGGAACAATAGCAATTAAGAGGTGTTTCCATGCTCCTCAAAACCTCCAGTCTACTGATCAGAGACCTTCCTACAGGATGTAATAGTAGTAGTAAAATTTCTACTCATTTTTCTTTTTTACATCATTAGAAATAGATGACTTTTACTGTAGATCAATTAAAAATCAGTCTATTCAATACTCAAAGAACTCTCCTCAGTATTCTCATCAATTTTAGAAATGCTGTCAACTGCATGGATTTGATTTTTAATTTCTAATACATGCAGCCTGTTTGCAATCCAAATACTCCAGTGATTATTGGCATAACTGTCAACACCATATTTTGCACATTTCTGAAGATTTATTTTTAAAATTGAGATATTTTTCTAATTTTACTCGTTTACTCAAACAACAATAGATGCTGTGCATTTCATTAACAAATATCATTATTTCAATTCCAGAACAAATTATTGAGAGAACTTTAACAAAAATTGTGAGCTGGCTGCAGAAGAAGATGAGGAGGAGGAGGAGGAGAGCAAAGACACCCTGTGATCTAATTTTTGCAAACTTTTTCAATAAGCAAAAAGTTGGGTAGATGACGGGGTGGGCCAGAGTACTTTCTCTGCACCCAGTAACTGACTTGGGTGGTCTCTACTGCATTCTATTTAACTATTAGTAAAGAGGAGATTATTCTAATCTAATCTCCTCAAAGCTTTTAATTTTGTTTATCACTCATTTTAAACCTGCTTTTGAGAAATGATTCATTAAAGTTAACTATATATATATATATATATATATATATATATATATATATATATATATATATGAATATATATGTATGTATGTATGTATGTATGTATATATGTGTGTGTGACACACACACACACACACACACACACACACACACATATATATATATATATATATATATATATATATATATAAATGGTAGTACTCGTTTGGAAAACCTTGGATAACTCAACTTGCAGTAGAATAAATCAGTACCTGAGGAAAAAATTGGAAATGAAAAAAGAAAGAAGCAAGAACATTAAACAAAACCAATTGTCAAGTGCTTAAGCTCCAAGTCCAAAGAAAAAAAAACTCCAAACAAATAAAAAGACCCCAACAGAGAGTGCTCAATATGTTAAGTAGAGTGATAAACTAAGATAATCCTAAGGAGCCAGGCAAACATACCTAGGTTTCACCTAATCAGATCTTCAGGGTAAAGCCGGGTTTACCCTAAAGATATGTTTAGGGAAACCAAGATTGGTTTGCCTGGCTCTTTAGGATTATTTTATATATATATATATATATATATATATATATATATATATATATATATATATATATATATATATATATATATATATATATGAATGAATATGTATATATATATATATATATATATATATATATATGTATGTGAGTATTGATATATATATATATATGTGTGTGTGTGCGTGTGTGTGTGTGTGTGCAACATTTACAACTGCATTAGGATGTAGCATAATGTTATGGAAACATATATGCTGATCTTTTCCATCCACATAATGACAACTGGCTTAAATCGCGAAGTTCTAAAGAAAAAAACTTATACCACTGAGAGGAATCGAACCTGCATCCCTTTTTCCCATCAGAGATGCAGGTTCAATTCCTTTTGGAGGCACACATTTCTCTTTAGTAGGACATCTCAATTTAGGTTTAATTAAAAAAAAGAAGAATCGCAACTCAAGCACATATACCCACAAAGAATTATGTTTATTGTTATAAGGAATAATGTCAGATAAAAATCCTTAAAATATATATATATATATATATATATATATATATATATATATATACACACACACACACACACACACATATATATATATATATATATATATATATATATATATATATATATATATATATATATATATATATATATATAAAGCAAACTACAGAGAAAGTTCATTTTTCTTCATTCATTCCTGTAGTTCACTGCTACTAATAAGCAGGATGTTTTTTTTTTCCTGATGATTGCCATATTGGCCGAAACTAGTTGGTGAACCTAAATAAAATAATAAAACAAAAAAATATTTATATACAACCCAGCGTGTCTGAAAATGTTAATATTTTATATATATATATATTAATATTTTTTATTATTCAAAACAACATATATATATATATATATATATATATATATATATATAAAAGTAGTTTCACATTTATTCAGGAAACTAACATAAACCTACAAATCTCATATGTGTCCATCTATCTTTTCACCTAGGCAGAAATTTGAAATCCTCTTGATGTTTTTACTGTTCCCGCCGATAACCACTATATCCGTGTAGTAATATATATATATATTTACTTATTTAAATGTTTCTGGATTACATTATTGGATTAAGTGTTATATTTCGGGTGAGGCTATTTTCTGGCTGGAGTTAATAATATGAAAATGTCAAGGAGAAACTGATAGTTGGTTTTTCTTTCATTGATTTTAATTCATTTATTTACTTGTTTTATTCGTCAACAGATGAGGGGAAAATTACTGACTGGCAAATCGTTCTTTCATTATCTTCAAGATTTAATAGTAATGAGCACTACCCATGAAAACTTCATTTGAATATACTAATGAATCATAATTTTTAATATAATAATTGAATAGACTCCTTGCAAGTTCCACTAATATAAAATACCATTGGAAATTCCCCTATTGCATCATTAAATATCTGAGCTTAACAATTTTAAGAAAATATTGCAATAATAATCATAATTCATTATTTAAAGAAGTAAGAGGGTACAAATGAAAAGGTTTGAAAATGATAAGATTTTCATTTTCACTGAAGCATACGATTATTTTACTAATGTTCACACAATGCAAGGCCCAAGAGCCACTCAAGGTGAAGGATCACTGTGTGCAGTCGTATTAGTGTAAGAAAGGACAAGGATTAGAAGTACAGAACTGAAGGAGATTTTAGAAGGAACCCAATCCTAAAGAGGAAACAAGGAATAAACCTATACTTCTGTTCAAAAGACCGGGGAGGAGTGTGAACCGGACGATAGGTGAACTTAACAACTTTAATCAAATATTACAATAACCATCATAGATATGAATGCAGGTTATTATTTAAAGAAGTAAGTGGGTACAAATGAAAAGATTTGTTACTGACAAGGTTTTCCATTTCACTGAAGCAGATGAGAGCCTTCTCTGTCTTCTCTCTCTCTCTCTCTCTCTCTCTCTCTCTTCTCTCTTTTTCTTTCTTTCTTTTTCTCACTGAAAACAAGTCGAGTTTTTTATATGATTTTTTTTATGAGCTATTGGTATGGCGTAACGGTCGTGCGAACTAAGAAGATTAGAAAGCGGATAAGATATCTAAATATCTTAGTGAGAAAGTTGCATAAATTAAAGAGCGAGTTTAAACATCCAGATGACATTATTACAAAATACGGCCCGAATACTGAAAAAAGTGGCTAAGTATTAAGGAAACTTGCTGGCAATTAATAACCAATGGAAAGCAACAGTCACTTCGGTTGTCAAAACCAAATGAAAGTATAATAATAATGATAATAATAATCGTGGGCATTTTATAGTTTTCTTATTTAATCTTCTCTTGAATCCCTATTCTTAACTTAATTATTGAATTAACTCCTAAAAAATTCCACGACTATAAAATACATGTGGAAATTCCCCTGTTGTACCATTAAATATTTGAGCTTACTAACTTTAACAAAATATTGCAATCACAATCATAAATATGAAGTCATTTAAAGAAGTAAGAGGGTACGAATGAAAAGCTTTGAAATTCACAGTGTTTTCCATTTCACTGAAGCGAGTGCCTTCTCTATCTCCTCTCTCTCTCTCTCTCTCTCTCTTAATTTCTTTCTTTCTATTTCTCACAGAAACCAAACAGCGTTTCTGTTATGTCTCTTCCGTTTTTCCTCGCGAGCAAAACGGAATTGTCCATTGGTATTGGCAGGCGTAACGTACGTGCGAGCTAACTAAAGAATGAAAGAACATAATTATAATATGATGTTTCGGAATGCTAACAGCTGGGTTACTTTACTCAACTACATTATTTTAGAATAACTTGAACTTTTGTTTTCAGTCAAGACCGGTTTTTGGAATTGCAAACTGTAATTGCAATCATAAAGTTGTTTTTCCTTTTGAGTCTTTTTTTTTTTCACTTTCCACTGTACAGTTAACAAATACAACCATGCGACATATTTTTCCACGTCTCATATACCTGTTGACCAGATTGTAGATGATCTAACTAAATAAGTCAATGTGTACAATTTTGTGTATATTACATTTTCCTGAGTCGTAGATTCTTGGCAATATCTTTCTGGTAACATAAATAACATCACTATTCACTATTGAAAAACCATTACTGGTCACTATCTAGTGAATAAAACATTTTTTTTTTTACTTTAATATTTAAGATGTATTATATATGAGCAAGAAAATACAAGAATCAATTTTTGTTTTTGCTTTCAGAAGTGAAATGGTAATTGTAATGGCAATTATAATATCAGCCGTTTCCTTATAAGAAAAAATTTGGTATTCATTGGTTGAACAGCTTGTAGTACTGTCGTTTGAAATTTATAAAAACTTTCTCTTTCTTTCAGGAAAATTTCTCAAATCCATTAGCTGCTATTGACCTTTCTAATGTTGATGGAGGTTTACTTTCTAACCTTTTGTTTGAAGTAATGTGGAACGTCAAGATAGATAGATAGATAATAACACTGAGATAATAGAAAGATGGGTCAGAACAGACAGAGATAGATAGATAGATAGATAGATAGATAGATAGATAGATAGATAGATAGATAGATAGATAACACACGGAGATAATAGAAAGATGGACCAGAACAGACCGGGATAGATAGAGAGATAGAAGGGGAGAGAGGGAGGGAGAGATGAATAGGTCAAGATAACAGATAGATATAAACCGACTAAGATAGATAGATAGATAGATAGATAGTAATAAAAATATTAGCCATTTCCTCTTAAGGATACATTCGGCATTCATTGACCGAGCAGCCATTGCTATTTTCGGTTGAAATTCATATTATCTTTCTCTTAAAATAACTTTTCAGGGAAAAAAAAACAATTTTTCAGGAAAATAGGTTTCTCAGGTCCAGTAGCTGTTATCGCTCTTTCCAGTATTAGTGGGGATTTCCTAATGATGGACCATTTCACGTCTCTTGCACTTGACAAATTGTGTAGATGAACTTGTAGACAGATGCCGTACCATCATGTTTCAGGTACAAACAGAGCACAGATTTCCCGATCGTACCTGCAAAACATCTTCCTCGTCACGTTGAGTAGCACGGGCAACATTTAGGTAGTAATTATGCCGCCGAAAAAGCACGTAAACTTCTCGTTGCAGAACTGACAGCAGAACAGGTTGAACCTGGCACAATGATAACTAACGTCTTTATCCACTGTGCCATACGTCCCCAAGGACACATGACACAGTGGATAAAGACGTTAGTTAGATCCAGTGACAAGACCCAAATAGTGTGAGTTCAATACCTGGTTAAGGCGGTGGAGAACTTTGAGAGAGGAATTAACAGGAGATAACTGATAACTGAAATCCATTAGACATGGCACGTGGAAATGGAACAGTCTACCCCAGTGAGCGGAATAAAGGGTTCAGTTCGACATTACAATCACCTGAAGAGGGCCGAAGCGTACAACAGCCGAAACGTTGTGATAAAGATGGCGACAAAGATGAGGACAATAGTCCAAATAATGTAAACAGTGTACATAATACCCTATCTCAGAAATATAAACAGATACCAAAAGTGAAATTCTCCATTTAAACGTCTTGTAAAATTCAATTATACTTTTTTCTAAAGTTATTTGAGGAAAATTCGAAAATTTAAAGTTCACTTAATGTAATTGCAAAGAAACATTACTTAATTTTTGAGCAGAAAAAATTTAGTTGAAAATAAAAGAAACATGTCTAACCGTGGTGATTGGTTTTTGAAGTGTGAATTGACGTTTACGTCAATGAATCAACAACTAACGGCAGGGCAACGTATCGGACGGAAGGACAGAAGTGACAGTATTTTCGAATTTTAAGTGAACCAGCTTATTTAAGTATAAAGTAATTTTTTAAAATTAAATACTTTCAAAAGTCTAATATTTTATTGTTTTTTTAGGTCCTTTTTTAAAGGAAAATATGTCACAAGCCTGCACCGTTTCCGTCCCTAAAATTGAATATAAAAAAGAAAATAATAATTGCAGTTTGACTCTCACTGAAAAACAATAAATTAATTATATTTAAAAGGCCTTTCTCTTGAAACACGTGACCTATTATTTCTGAACCGTGCATCCATAGTTTTGGAGAAAACGTTTTTAATACATTTGTTGCATATTAAAAAATATTTTTAAAATATTATCGTGTCGCAGATTGTAATAAGATCTCAAATTTATCATCTGTAAAAATAGATCCGACTCCGGACAACAGTGTCCTTAATATATGTTATTCATAAATGCTATTAACAGCTTTTATAATTAAATAATGGCTTAGTTTTATTAGGTTTTGTATTTAACAATTCAGAGCTGAATTTTGAGTAACATCGGGTCGAAATTTACTAAAAAATCGATGATTTATATTCTTCAAAGTCGTCTGCTTTTAACCAATGTAATCACAAAATTACACAGAAGTCTAATTTTCGAGTTTTCATAAAATTAATTTAAGTGGTGGAGTAACAGATGTAAAAAAAAAAAAAATTATCAAGACTTTCTAAAAAAACATACATTTCTAAAATAATTTCATTCATTTGTGAATATGTTCTGAAAGGCTCACTAAAATCTGACAATTATTTGATTTTTGCAAAAATTTCCAAATTAATGTGTTTTTCAACTGAAAGGAGCGCTAAAAAACTAATGATAAATATTATGTTACCGCTGATGTAATAAAAAAACAAGATATTTAACCAAAATTTCGAAGGTGCTAGAAAGGATTAAAAACATTAAAACTACTTTGGTCTTTCCTCTTAATAATAACAAACAGTTTGACGATAAAACTTTGTTTGGGGCCTTTTTTCATCATGCTATGATGTTGTTTTTTCGGCGAATTATTGAAGATACTTACGTTGTTGTCATCTGTAAAACCTAGCATAACTCCCCTCTCTTTATGTGTGGTACCCATTTGAAAGGAATACATCCAAATCGTATAAAGCCTCCCTTGCTTTCAGTTTAGTTTATGTTGTTACCGTTTTCCTATCTTATGGTGCATATAAAATGAAATTTGTCACATAGTTTGTAAATTGATTTACCGTATTTAACGACTATGTTGTATAACGTGGAAAATAATTTAGAAGCTAAGAAATTTATTTAAAAATGTAAATACTTTAAATACGTTAAGATGTTGACTAAAACAATATAAAATTGAAATTAGCAAAAAAAAAAAAAATAAATAAAATGACGTATGTAGAAAGATTCAGTTGCATTGGAAAAGTATCACCATTCCGTATTTCAAGGGTCTTCACAGTTTTCAAATCTCGTATTCTTCGAGATTTCAAAATCTTTTTTACGCTCCTTAATGCGAAAGAAATTAAATTTCGAAAAGTCAGAAATTGGCATATTTAATATTAAAAATATGTTTAAATTTATCAGATCTCAAAATTAAAACTAAAAAAAAACTCATCATAATATTAATAAAAAAAAAAATTTAATTCGCAGGATTTTTTTTCTATTCAATTAACTTTGAAATGCATGGAATTTTGGTGCTGAGGTCGTCTTAATAAGCAGCCGGCTAGCTTGTGAATATTGTCCTTATATGAAGAAGGAACGAAAAACATGTTTCGCAAAGATACACAATCTCGAAAATGGAAGAATTATTCCAAAGACTCTTTTACTTGATTTGAAAATGTTTGGATTATTGATACCTATACGCTTTTAATTCAAAATTAATTTTTGATGCCTGAATATTTTAAGTCAAGGATTTCTTCTTTAAGAAGCAATAATAATAACACGAAGATGGATAATTTGCGCAAGACATCCAAGAGGAATCATGAAGGTGGCTTACGTACGATTTCAAGGAAACAGAAAGGACGTGCGACACACGAGCGGGTATTAAGAACAAATTCCATATAATGTCAAAATAAAGCAAGTACAGAAGTTCAAGTATCTGGGAAGTGTTTTAACCGAAGACGAAAAAGGTGACACCAAAATCCGAAAGCTCATTGGAATAGCCAAAAATATTTTCCAAAAACTAAGCAAAGTATTAAGAGACAGGAAATTATCCTTAGAAACAAATAAAAGAGTGTTAAACTACTATTTAATATCGGCCCTCCTATATGTCAGTGAAAAATTACCTTCATAATATGTCAACAGGATATAATAAATGCAAGTATACTCATTGCCGTAGATTGACGGTCTTAGTAAAAACTTCGATAAAAAGCAAGTGAAATTAAGATGAAAGGATCACTAATTAAAAAATTGCTCGGACCGGGCAACAAACCCCTTCAAAGAGAAAAAAAATTGTCATTTCGTCAGATTTCTGGAAATGGATTGGGCCGAGAACTTTTCAGCGCCCTATCGTGAATGATAAAATTTCTTCTAAGATATTTAAATAATTATGAAAAATAATAATAATACTGATGTATATAAACAAAGACGAAAGCGGCGTGTCAGGCGTGCAGGTGAAATAAAGAACTTTTGATATAGCTAGATTTCAAATAATCAGTTAGTTTCTGTAGTCTAATTTATAAAGCAACTGTGTCAAATCCGTGCAGCTCATTAAAGATTACAAGATAACGTTTAAATAGCTAAATACAACCACCACTTCTACACCAACAATTTATTTTCTCGCACCTCCCGCCTGTAGAACTCTCTTCTGTTTATTTGCTTCCCTGATAACTACAATCTTCAACAATTTAATTGCAGCATCACTCGCTATCTTCTCCCGTTCATCTTTTGTCATTTCCTCAATCCTTCATAATCTGAATCTTCTCCTTCACTTTCAGTCACTGTAATCCCTTGTGTGTTAGTGGCATTACCGCCTTGGGGTGAAATGTTTTAAAAAATAAATAAAATTTAATGGATAGCGGCTCGGATTAAGGAATCGGAGGGCCGAGTTCAAGTTCCAGTTGAATCCATTATATTCACTTACGTACTAATACCTTTGGGAACGGTATGAATCCTCTTCTTCCCCGCCCCAACTATAGGTAAATAGCAGGACAGACGGCTTTATAACCTTGGATGGCAACTGGTCTACTGCAGAGAGAAATGGCAACCTACTGCGGGAAAAAAAATCTGTCTCGTCAGTCATATATCGAAAGATACAAGATTTCCTAAGCGTGTATGGCACATAACTGACTGACTGACAATTTTGTGAAATCATTTTATTAGAACAAGAAAATTATCAGCGCAGAATAAAGTTTTTTTTTTAATTCCTCCTAAATTTTCCTCATAGAATGGTAAATACTTTGCAAGAATGTTTTGTTGGCGGGCATTGAAAATAGATTGAGGTAAAACAAAGAAACATTTTTAATGATGTTTTTTTTTAGCTTGAGAACACAGGATTAAAAAAAGGGTCTATAAAAGATTGTATCTGTTCGGATCAACAGATTTACGCATCTACAGAAGATAAAATGAAACATTGGCAAAAAAGGGAGAGAAAAAAAAACTCTAATCCAAATCGTCCTAATTGCTTTAAGTTCCTCAGATACAACCAATTAAACAGACTCAAATCCTTTAATACGATGTTATATTTTTCTCCCTAAAGGGAGTTTTTAATCCTTCCCGTACTGATCTGTTTAAAACTATTTTCATAATCTTTTAGTACAACTGACAATCTTGATCGTTTGCCATGAGTTAGTGTATATTTTTATTTATCTATTGTTTGAATGGATTATCTACCAGCAAATAAATCTAATTTCATATAATCTATTTCCTCCACTATCGTTGTTCATCAGCATCACCAACCTCAGTCCCATGACCGCAGCTGAGAACCTGTCCAGTTCCCGCCACATATCCCAGAGACGTATTCATTCAGGTGTATCGTCTCTTAGGCAAGGAGACCTGGCGGAGCCTATCCGTCCTCATTTTTTTTTTTTTATCAGAGGTTCTTAATATCTTACTGATGTATGTCAGACAGATTATTCGATACTATAGCCTAGGTAGGAAAGGTGATTCAGGGAGATTATCTTCTCCAGGTATTCACTCGTGACCACTGGAAAAGGGAAAATTGGATTCATGTCTTTAACATCAACATTATTGTAATGTGAACATAAGCGGTCTCAAGTGAAATTTTTACTCGTATCATTCATTTCGTTTTGTTTTTGGATAACTGTTACAACAGCCACATAATGCTTCAAATACTGTCCAAATTGACTATAGGTGTAACAGATTATTTGCTGCTATAACCTGGACAGGAAAGATGATTACAGAAGAGTGGTTGGCCCAAATGTTTGTTCCTCCGCTCTATTCTCCATCAAACATCGTGACATGCCAGTGATAGGATATTTTGCCAAGAAATCTGATAATGGGCAATTGATAGATTGATTTTCTTTTTACGGTTTATCAACCCTCTGTAGATTAATGAAAGCCAAAACATATTTGGGATTGTAGAATAATTCTTTTCTTTTTTTTTTTTTTTGCAAGGGAAAATTGCGCTAACAATCTTTTTTTAGAATAACTATGATTATTCCAGGTAGTAATAGGTAAATGGTAGAGAGAAGTCAATTCATGCCTTTAATATCAGAATGAGTTAAACAAAAGCAGCCTGATCTGAAATAAGAACAGTGATTTTGTTTTTTGTTTAGAGAACCTTGTAATGTCTACCCCATCCTTAAGAGTTCACATATCTTACAGGTGCGTGTTTTTTGTTTGTTTGGTCATTTTTTTTGTTTTGTTTTGTTTTATTTACCGCCCTTCCCTACGAGGTCAGGCTGTGACACAAAGTCGGTTTAATGTGGGGAGACCGAGTGCGTACACCCGGGCTAGGAACAAAAATTGCCCACAGTCCCTGCAACCGTCGGTTGCGCTGGCCTCGGTGTGAGCACCGATCCCTTTCTCTGGCGCAATGAGAGGGCGCTGCCTCGGTCAGCTGTTCACTAGTGCTGGGCAACTCTCAGTTTAATTTTCCTCAGTTGCGACTTTGCGCCTTGACGGAGCTGCCCCTGAGCGCACTCTTCCCAAAGACAGAGGCGCAAACAGACAGATGATAAATAATGTGTTACAAACTACTTGAGAGATAGTAACTTATACACAGTGCGTGTTAAGGTTGATAATAGGGCGAACATCTTAATAGTCGTCTCTTTTAATTCTTCTTTCATATGCTCTATCCTTTTTGCGATGTGGACGTTAATGGCTCTCCACAACATCCTTTTTTTTTTTAATTTATCCTTTGCTCTTTTACCACTGCTTTTTGTTTTCGCTTTGCCAGCCATTCGCACAAACTTGTAAAATAGCTAACCTATTGTTTTCCTTTGCTTCTTTTGCTTTCAGTCTGAACTGTAAATGTTAAATGCTCCAAGCCTTATTTCAGGCATGGGCAACTTTTTTCGAACAATGGGCCGCAAGATCGATGGTTCATCACAAGATGGACCGCATTATTAAAAAGATACAAGGTGATTTTTCGGAATAGGTACCTTAGTTACTACCACTATGGAAGACCATGGGCGTAAGCATATACCTTAGAAATGGTAGGAAAGTTTTATTTTTTAGAAATGATTTTTTTATTATTAAAAAGTTGACGTCTTTGTTATAATATTATCACTGATGAGAGTGTGATTAACACATGTCGCTGCGTGGGATTTATTTTTAATTCATTTATTTTAAAATGAAAACATTTCTTCTTTAGATAAAAAAAAATTCTTACGAACGTTTCCTGTTTCAAAGGATGTTTAGACGTATGATCTTCCTTACTCAAAATCGCCAAAGGTTCAACATGCTGAAAACGTTACTTTCCACGAGATTTTACAAAATTCAAGAAACATTGTACTTAAACTTTGTTTATGTACGTGGTTATGTATGAGAGAGTATGTGAGTGAACAAGTGAGAACGAAAAAAAAAAAAATTTTCAGAAACTTTTTTTCCCCTATGAAATTAAGCGTACCATTCAGAAAGATCAAACCGGCCGCATATGGCTCGCGGAGCGCTTTTTCCCATGACTGCCTTATTTCCTTAATTTTCAGCTGTTCCTTTCTGGTTACTCATAGTAACTTCTTTGTCGTTCCTATTCTGCTAATAACTTCCCCGTTTCTCACATGTTCCAACTATGGCTCTGAACTTTCATTTACTGTTGATTTAGTTTTTCTTTTCTCAATAGGAGTAGATAGATTCACCTCTTGTCCGGTTCACACTCCTCCTCGTTCTTTTGAACAGGGGTAGAGGTTTATCCCTTATTTTCTGTTTAGGATTCTTTTCCGGTTTCTTCTAAAGACTTTTCCTTCTCTTTTATTTTCGGTAGCCCCTCCTTGCGTCTTTGGCGGTATTGTCTCCTTGCTTGTGGTTATACCTCTTACTCTACTTCAAGTGGCTCTTGAGCCTTATACAGTGGACATCACTGTAAAAGATATGATATTCTCAGCATTTAACAACAGAACAATATCTCTGTCACTTGTTCATCTGTGAGAAAACTGTCCAACATTTGGTGTCATTAGATATTTCGTATCATTTGCGCACTTTTTTTTTTTTTTCAAAGACATTTTTGAAATTTTGATACTTTATTAGCTTCTGTATCCAAAAGTGCATTGGGATAGCGAAAGACGCTTTCCAAAAGCTAAGCATAATATTAAGAAACAGGAAAATCTCGTTAGAAAAAAAGAAAAGAAAAAAAATGTTATTTCATATC